GACCATAACTCATTGAGTTTACGGTCGTAAACCCATGAGTTTACGGCCATAAACTCATGCTTCTTTGACGATGTGTTGTTTTGAAGCCGTACAAGTCCTTAGAAGCATTTCCACTTGAAGTATAAGCTTATGGAAGTGATTAGGGCACCATTTCACTCCTAAATGGAGTTTACGGTCCTTGGACCATTTGCCTTTGGGTTTACGGCCGTAAACCCAAATGGTTTATGGTCTTTTGATGTTTTCATGTACTTAACTCATTAGGGAAGGGATCTATGCAAGTTTCCAAGGCTTAGAAGGGATTAGGGCACACTTTGGCACCCTTTTTAGGGTTTACGGTCCAAGGTGTTCTTGGACCGTAAACACCTTTGATCCTTGGTTTCCTTGGTGTTTTCTTGATGTATAGAAGTGTAACAAGCCTTATTATACTCTAGGATAGAAGTACTTACAAGATAGAGGCTTGAAAAGGTGCTAAAAGTCCAAGAACACTAGTGTGTGTTCTTGGTGTTCTTCGTGAAACTTGAAGATCTAACCTTTTGAAATGATTTCACGGATGGAAGTGTGTTAAATCACTAGATTAAGCAATATATCAACTTAATAGGGCTAGAAACACTTACAAGTTGAAGATCTTGAAGAATTGTTGGATGATACTTGAGAGAGAATTGAGTTTGGATCTTGAAATTGTGAAAAATGGTAAATAATGACTAAGTGTCATATATATACCCCCAATTTAGGGTTTACGGCCGTAAACACTTTTGTTTAGGCCGTAAACTCCAAACTCTTGGAGCTTTGGGACTTTATTGTTGCACAATAAACCCTAGAGCATCCTCTCTCCTGGTATCTCCTGAAGTACTAACTGAAAAAGACTCGAACTTATTCCAAAAAGTTTGAAAGTTAGCAGAAACTGTTCTGACTTCTATTGAATTGAAATGTTGTACAGAATAGAAATTTCGGGTTGTCACAGGCACTGTAGGGAATCATAAAATGATTAACCCTAAAAAGGCTTCCCTAAATAACCAAATATGCCATATCAGTTTCAATATCTCAAATACTCAACACTAGTGTGACAAATATCTTCTCAGAAACCGACGCCTGAAGAACGTCAAGACATACACTTCGTTATATTAGTATGGTTATAACGACTCACATAGAGAATAACGATATTATATTATATTATAATTTACGCAATGTTTACGCTTTACTCATGTTAAGAAGTACGAACCTATGCATAAACTATTTTACATCTACTCTCACCACTCGGGTCTTAGGGTTTAAGACCACATTTTTCATATAAAAGAAAATACAGGATTTTCTGGAAATCGCTCACTATACATTTTCAAACAAGGTTAACAAGGAATACACATGCAACTACATATGATTGAAAACAAGGCTTACAAACTAATTTTACAAGAAAATATCAGATTTTCCGGAGATTTACAAACTACTATCAAGGTTTTATACAAACGTGCTTATGAACTCACCAACATTTTTATATTGACGATTTTCAAACGACTTGTATTCTCAGGAACACAGTGAGCCGAATTCTTTACAGCTATGGACTTTGAATGAATGTTGTATTTTGGTTTCATCATACATTTGTTATTTTGGGATGGAATTTTGTGAAAAAACACAATACTGTAAACCATTTATGTTGTAATCTTTAAAGTATGATGATGATGATGGCTATGTTTCATTTATATACACTGTTATGATATTACAACATGAAGTCATTCGCCCCCGTATGTTTCCGCCGTTCCGGTTCGGGGGTGTGACAAAGTTTATGACAAATTAAATCACATTGTGTAGATAGCATTTTGAGTGTTTAGAAATGATAATTAATCTCACTGTTATCAAAATGTGTAATAATTCCAAGAAAATGAAGATATATGTGTGGCAATCAAACGAAGTTGTAAAATAATAAAGAGATTAATTAGTGTTAAAGGTTTAAGTCGTCAATAAGGGAATTTATATGGAAATATTCATATTACAATCTTTGAAAAATTGTCACATTGTTTAAGTCGGGACAAATTTAAGTTTACGAGGAGTCTGAATATTTATGAAAACATGTTTGAGAGTTTAGGAACTCACTGGAAATTGAAAAGTAGAATGCGATTTTAAGAAAGGTGTAAAAATGTCGATCATTGAAAATAGTGCATTCTTTATTTAGTGATTCTACAAAAAACAATCATTTGAAGGATAGATAATCCTAACATTTAAAACTTTTTATATTTTTAAAGAAAAGAAGAAACATAGGAAAATGTATTTTTCACATACATTTTCTGGATTTAGAAAAATGATAAGAAAGGGCATTCATCTTGTGTATTAATTATAAGGAAAATACAATGAAAATTGCATTTTAAATCAAGTTTCCGAATTTAGAACGAAAGAACAAATGTAAATAAGGATTACTTGTTTTACAATAGATTTCAAAATAAAAATAAAAGGTATATGATAAATGGCGTAATTGAATATATCAAAGTTGACTAAATCGAAATTATGCCTCGCGACTATACGCGCATTAATCGCTCAGATTGATAAGGGTAGACTTCTAGTCTTTATGCATATGAACATGGTACCAAGAGAAGCAAAATAGACAGAAACAAAGTTAGACAATGTATTATGTTATTATTATGGGTGTGTGAGATCTAAAATTAAAAGGAGAGCGAGAAATCAAGTTCGGGGGAAAGAAAAGGAAGGTAGTAGCAATGATTGCTATTGTTAAAATTTTAAGAACAATACATATAGGTAGATAAAAAAAATAGGTTAAGAAATACTTCAAACTTCAATCCTTAATGTATTTTGATGATTAGGTAGACATGTGGAAGTTTTAAAGTGTTTGCCAATAATTCGTGAGTTATCAATTAAGGTAAACTCCATTTTTGAAAAAGAAGAAGCACTACAACTAATAAATGAAAATCTAACAATTTTGACTTTTTAGACTAAAGTCCAACAGTGGTTAAAATGGATAAGATAAAGACTCAATATATTTAGAAGAATAATTATACATTGTTGACAGTGTATCATTGGAAATTTAAAAGTGAACACTACGTTTACAATGCGGTAAAATCTAGAAACTTGATAGATTATATAACTAATTTGTAATAAAATATACAAATAAGGTGTGTTTTGAAACGTAGGTATAGGTGATGTATTGTAAACACGTTTGGAGTAGAAAGTTGTAAAATATCATGTTGGGTTTCAAGAAAACACATTTAAGTAAAGTACAATGCCTAAATGAGAAAGTGGTCAAAATAGTCAAAAGAAAAGTGGTTTTGAAAGATCTGATGAAGCTTTTACACATAATATGAACTTCGATGTCGTATGTATAAGTTTTATAGCATAGAGTTTAAACAATTTTATAAAATAAAATGTTTCTAAGTTTTTCGAAAACGTGCCAAAATGGTAAGCAATGTATAAAATATATGTCCTTAAAAATCACATCTTTCCATTGAAATGAGTTTGAAATGAAATTGAAATAGCAATGTTAAAACCAAGATTGGTTAAATTGGGTTTTGAAGAAAAGTGTTAAGTTAACGCAAGTTGTCAAAAGTAAAGTTGGTTGTTTTTAGAGAGAAATCACTACTAGAAAAATAGCCTTTTACGACGCGCAATGTGTGTCGTAAAACGCTCAGACGACGTGCAAATGCGTGTCAAGGAAGGCCCTGTCATAACGAGAGACGACACCCTTTTGCGCGTCGTCTATTTACGACGCATATTTACGACGCGCCGTTACGACACGCATTTACGACGAGCGTTTACGACACGCATTGCGTGTCAAGGAAGGCCCTGTCATAAAGGAAGATGATACACTTTTGCGTGTCGTAACCTTACGACGCACATTTAAGACACGCATTGCATATCATTAAAGCTCCTGTCATAAAGAAAGACGACACACATTTTTGCGTGTCATAATTTTAAATGTTTTAAAAATTATATATTTTGATAGATTTAGTAATTTTCAAATTAAATAACACATTAAAAGTCTTATAATACAAAATAAAATACAATAAATAAGAAAGATAATTCATTGTACTAATATGTTAAATACAAATTATCATTCCAATAGTAAGTAAATGTAATACATTGCTAATATTGCATAATATTTATTATAGAAAAGCAAAACATGTACAACATTAAAAGGAACCCGTGAGTAATTTATCCTTTGACAAACTTCATGGCAACTTTAAGTCTTGCAACCTCACCATGGTATTGAACTTTGCCACCACCGACGTAAGAAAAAAATTGCGTATAAATATCAAAAAACAAGATAGGAGCCAATCATTCTATGACACAAGGAAAAATATCACTAGAGAACTGTGAAAAAAATATGAAACAAATGAATGAAAGTGCGTTGCTATTTCTTTAATACTTACTGCATAGAGTAAGACTTGGACATCATCCATAGTTTTGAAGGACATTGATGTCTCCCTATGCTGCACAAGATAGGTGTGTTAATAAACAAATCAATGAAGGCGCGTTGCTATTTCTTGCATTTAACACAAAAACTAATGCAAATCGTGTAGAATCTCCTAGTTTATATAGGTAATCTTCCAAACTCATTTGATACATGATCGCAGTCCAAATATGATGATGGGATTAAAATTTAAAATAAGGTTTTATGTTGTAGATTATTTGCAACCTGAGCATCAGATAAGTAAATTCCCGGATGATGTGGAGTGGCATCTTCTTCCATGACTCTCATTTCTTGAGCAGCATTTTCAAATACCCAATCTGGTAGACGAATCATGTCCACCAACACCTGGAAAGATATACATTTGGTATTTAAGGCATGACCAAGTAAAAAAAACGTCGGAAAAATATCTTACAATAAGAGTTTTAACATAATATCCTAATAGTTTAACGATCAATTTATTTAGACAAGAACTAACCAAGAAATGAATCTAGCACAATCAATTATATAGATATTAAAAAGACAATATAAAAAGAACAACAGAGGTTACCCATATTTTAAAAACTAAAAGTTTGACTTTTAGGGTTTCAGGTTAACTTGCCCGCATCCCAGATGCATAATCTCCAGCTGCCCTAAGAAGCTCGACTAGTTGAACAGCTGCATCAAGAGCATCTGGAGCCCATGACGGTGGTGCTTCTAATAATCCAAGAAGAAGTCTTTGAGTAGCACTTGGACTAGCAATATCATAGTACCTATAGAAGAGCCTTGCATAAGGCTCTAAAGCAGGAAGCCCTGCAACAAGATGCTCATCCATGGCTGTTGTTGGAGGAGGAAGTAATAGAGCAGGAACAGCAGCTACAGTTAGAGTAGCGGTTTCATAACGAGCAACTTCCTCATCACATACACTTAAAATTACACCTGCGCCATTAGCAACAACCCACCTTGGTGTAGATGGCATTAACTGTGGATGCTTTCCAGATCCACGTGAAGAAGCCATTACTAAACGCAAAATTTTACTACTGTGTTAATTGTTATTATCCTTCTTTTAAAAGTTTTATAAAAAAAAACTTTTCCACTTACCAAGAGAAGGTGGCTTCAGTTCCCCTGCAGCGTATTTTCCCATAACACCCCACACCTACATATGTTAAATAAGTAAGAAAATGTAATAGTCATGAAAACACACAAAAAGAACTTTTTTTTAATAAATAAACAAGCACTTACCAACGAAAGTAGTCGCTTCTTATACCTAAAGGTGCAACAAGCAATAAATCAGTGATCCAAGGAGACAGAGGCCTTAGTGGTTTCCTTTCATGGTGTCCAGATGGTGAAGAAGAAGAAGAAGAAGAAGAAGATTGAACATCTATAGGGTTACTTGTTGATGCTTGGCTACCACTGATACTTCTATCTGTTTCACCATGTGGGTGTTCAACTTTGAAAATTGGTCGATTGTAATGTGTTAATATTCGTAAAATCTCTCCACATGCTAATGCCCATTGTTTGTTCATAAACCACAAGAGAAGAAACAGAGAGGTGTGAGTATGACTTCAGGTGGCCAAGCCCTATTCACAATATATAAATAAATAAATAAAATAATGATCAAACCAAACCATTTGTACATGTTACCTGAAGTTCAGCTTTAGCACCACCTTCCTCCACCAGTCCATTTCGAGTGATTTCTAGAGGTGTGTCTAATTGCATTGACCTAGTTTGACCAGGAATCCTAAGATGATTATTTGGCTTCACAGGAAGTGGGGCCCGATATTCAACCTGAGATGGCTTGCGTTTGAAAACAGACCCAAATCATTATGAAAAAATATCCATGACAAAATCAAATCAAAATAGATTTTCGGTTAACTAAAATCATTATGAAAACATATCCATGACAAAGATTGGCAAAGTACCAGTAAGAAACTCCATGAGAGTCGCCACCTGTACGTTCTTTACGAAATGCTGAAAGAGGAACACCATGTTTTATAGAGTCATCTATATAGCTTCTTATATCTTCTTGTTGTAACAGTTCATAGCAATTAATAAGCCATGCATGATACAACAATGGATAAAAAAAACAGTTGTATTCAGATTCAGCAGAACGAATACCTCAACTAGAATGTCACATAAGGCTTTCAATATGAGCACACGAACACCAGGATGAAGGGTGTTATATGTTTCAATCTCAGCCCTGAAAGGACAAGATATGGTAATTAGTTAAACTAAAATGAAAATAAATGACATATACAATTGATCATAAATGTAGCACAACTTACCCATGTGATGCTACAATAGGTAATTTCCCCTCTACAAACTGCAATAAGGTTTCAAAAGCAAACTCGGTTATGAACAAAAGAAAGTTATGACAATTTTAATGGTGAAGATGAAAATATAATGTACCTAGTGCCACCAATCTCTTAGCTTTCTGCATAAAACAGTAACCCATGTGTTTCTTCCTAATGCCATCCGAGTAACTGGAGGTATTGCCTAAATAAATAGAAAACATTAAAGTGAAAAAGATACTTTAAACTTCATTTTCATCAAGAATTTATAAGAAATACATGAGCCACAATAACCAAACGCTATGCACCTGAACTTCTTGTGGAGGTGGATCATCCTTGGGCACTGAGGGCCTCTGATATTGGGTGACATTAGTCACTGGATTCCAAAAGTAATGATTCCCAGTGTTACCATCAACTAGCCCTCTCTATGGTTTGGGGAGAGTAGGATCCTCTGGTGCATAGCGTGGACCAGCATAAGTTTTAGTTGCAGCAGCAACCATTTCAGCAAAGCAATTTCAAATATCTAGTAAAACAACATACAAGTTACTATTTCAACAGGCAGAGGAAGCTTAACTTGCAAAATTTTACAAATAACAGCTGAATATAGATGTAAATAACAATATAACCCATGCATTTGAATGAATGAGAACAAACCCAACAACCTTGTTGTTGCTGATTTAACATTCTATCAAGGCTTATGAAACCACTGTAAAACTACATAGAAACGGTGGTTCGTCATTAATATATAAAACCCTAAGAATTCTGTCACTTATGATACATGGCATTAAAAATGAAAGCCTAATTAGTTTTGATAAAGTCAGCAACACATGCTATGATATGCCTCTTAGGAAAACATAAAAAGCCCCAATTCCAAGCTAATGGTCTATACCGTAAGCATAGAGCTAACAAAATGGATTCCTTGTTTTGTGGTTTAAAATGCAATAAAATATTCCTTAGAAGTGTTCACAGCTAAAGCATCGGGATCATTGAGAAAAAATTATCAGCATACGCAACCAAGATTACCTTACACGCATGCAATACACAATCCGGAGGCATTCGTTTATATGCTCATGGGTTCGAGATTTGCAAGCACACTGCTCCCTGACATCTGAACTTCAATCTCAGGTGACAATTTGCAAAGATGAGTATTGTCTTTAGAGTTCGTTTCATCAGATGAGTAGTATTCATCATCACTAGTACTAAGCCTAGACCTCCTTATGGACATAACAAATTCTTGAACATTCTTTCTCTTTGTTCCTGATAATCCCTCCAGTTCCTTCACCCAATCTTGAAGTTCTTTTATGTAAATAGATGCATCTTCAAGCACAGATGCCTTGTCCATCTACAAAATTGGAAACAACAGTTACTTCCAATATTTTGCTAATGATTTACGTCTTTTGATTGTGGTAACAAGTTCCTAAGACAAATAAGTACTCATCTTAAGAGTTTTATCGTAAAAAAAACAAGTGCCTTTTTAAGCTTAGGGATGAGGGAAGATAAGGAAATAAAGTGTCGATTCAACTTTTCTCTTCTCTTTCTCTCTGCGAAAACATGATCTTGTGCCTGAATCGGATTTCTGGAAATTATTGGAATCTTTGTGGCACCAACAGCTTCATATCCAAGTGAATCGTCAATCTGGAGCATCTCGTTTTTAGGTTTTACATCTCCAAAAGATATGGTGAAAGTGTTGGATAAGGGAACACCGAAGTCACTTGGTGATAGTCGCAGTCTCCTCATGAAACTAGACACCGGAGGTGTCGCTCTCTGTCGGAGAAGAGGTACTCCACCGACTGGGTGTCGCTGGAAAGCGTCAGAAAGGAGGGGATCCACCGGCTGGGTGTCGCTGGAAAGCGCTGGATGGCGAGGCGGGGCTGGACGGAGGTCAGAGGTAGGAGGCGTCGGCGCCAAGAGAAACGTCGGAGGTGGGAGAAGCTGTCAACGTCGAGAACTGAGAAGAAGAGAAAGGGTTTTGTCGAAGTGAGAAAGAGAGAAAGGGAAATTAAAGAGAGAACGTGCAGTAGAGGAAGGAGGCCGGGGCAGTTCTTGACAAAAATCCCTAGCTATTACAAAGAGGAAGGCGGGGTTTTTAAGTTTTTGGGATTTCATTTTTCCCTCGGAATGGAACGCACGCGTGCTATTAAAATTTATAAATCGAAAGCCTTAGACGACACACATTTTATTATAGGTGCCCTCCATGTTTTTTTTGTTTAGACACTAATTTTAGGGCACGCAAAAATGCGTGTCCTTAATCCTTTAAATTTTAAGAGATATGACATTATTTTTAGGGCACGCACAAATGCGCGTCCTCGATCAACGGGTGTCATTGTTTGCGCGTCATTAAAGGGTTGTTTTCTAGTAGTGAATATAGCTTACATTGTTAGGAAAGGTCTAGTAAGTCATATGAAGTGGTTAAAAATTATTGTACTGATGGTAAATAAAACTGGTGAAGTGAAATAGGTTTGGTGAAAGATTAAGAAGCAAGGACTAAGTGGGTTAGTGTAACTAGACGTGCCTGATACTAATGCGATTATAGGGAGAGTACTGGTGGCCTTTCCCCAAAATAAAGAACAAGATTTTTTTTTGTAAACCGTTTTATGGTTTAGATACAGTTTCGAGCCTTTTATAGGGGTCAAAGGTTACATTATAGGTTTGGCTTCTGGCTCATGTTCGTAAGAGGATGTTGTGACATCCCCATTTTCACGGACAGAAAAAACCGATTTTGTTTATGCTTTATAAAAATCAGAGTATCCTTTTAATAAAAATGTTGCGGAATTTGTTCCTAGAAAACATGATAAATAGGTTATCAAATCATTTCCGAAGAAATGTATTTTTATTCATTTTCAAAACATTGGGATGTCATCGTCAATACAGAAACATAAGCATAAACAGAACTTACATTTATTTACACTAGTGATCTACATCTCTTTTAAATCTCTCAGTGTAAAGTAGCTTCGTATCGACACCTGTGATACAAATAAGCTTGAGTGGGTCGGGTTGGGAAACCTGGTGAGTACATAGGGTTTTCAACCCACAATAATATAATTATTTATGTTTAAACAACAAACAATCAACCCAATTACCCATCCCCATTATCCTCCTCACTCTTAAGGGTCTACCCTAAGAGTCATCTATCTTGCATTCGTTCATTCCGAAGTCCATTGATTCCAGGGTTTATAAGACAAGCACTAAGTCCATAGCTGCCAATGCTCATTTGTAACGCACTAAATCCATAGTTGCTAAATTTCATTCATCGGGTACTAAATCCATACCTACCAGTGTTTATATAATAGGTACTAAGTCCATAGCTACCAACATTTATCTATCAGGTACTAAGTCCATAGCTACCAACGTTTATCCATCAGGTACTAAGTCCATAGCTACCAACGTTTATTCAATAGGCACTAAGTCCATAGCTGCCAATGTTCACTCATATCATCTTTTATCTCTCATCCTTCATCTACCCATGTTATACCCAACATATTTGTAGATATAAAATACGTATACAGTTTAAATCATTTAAAACATGTATAGAATCGTTCATCCAGCATAGATAGCAAGTTTACATGTTATATGCACACATAGCACGTAATTTTTATAAAATACTTCATATATATGTGTAAGATGAAAGTAACTATGCACTCACTTGTTAATGTGATGATTCCAAACTCGGGCAGCGCTTCACTTTTAACGATTCTATTTTCCTTCGACGAAAGCTAACATTATTATCGCTAAATTTTAGTCTAATATTTACCGTGACTATTTATTAGTCTTAACATTATTATTATTATATGAGCGTTTAAACAATATTTTCCAACCACTATGTACAGACAGGGCCAGACATAAAACACCGGAGGGCAGGACCATTTTGGCATATAGCACTTCTGAAATCCAACAACCCTATGCGGCCCTTTAAACCAGATTCCCCATACTGCGAGTAGTTAAAAAGATATTATAACGACACTTATATAACCCATAATAATAGCTTAAATAATTATTATAAGGTCATAACAACTTTACTATATTTAAATAAAAGTTATATTAAAAATTAGGTAGGCGTATCTTACCTACGAGGGGGTTTGGCTAGAAGTCGGGCTCTGCAAGGGTAGAACTTCCGAGCCGAAAGCTCTTCTTCTCGGATCCGTGGAGAGCTCCGAGGCTTTCTTCTAGCGCTAGGGGAGTTTTGGGAGGTTTAGAGAGAGTGTAGAGAGAAGAAAAAATGGGAAATGTGTGAAGAAAATGAGGGTGGGAGAGGTTCTATTTATAGAGTGAAATATGGATGAACTTGGTGCCACATGTCACCATCTGGTGGCAAGACTTGGGGAGAAAGCAATGGCCAAGATTGTGCCACGTCACCCATTTTCGCACAGCACACTTCCGACTTCTAAAATCCGTAACTTTCGCATACGAGCTCCGTTTTTGAAGTTATTTATATCCACGCGTAGATAAAAATATGATCTACAACTTTCCTTTTGACTCCGTCGGCTAATTTTTGACTGATATTAAATTTAACAGTAGAAGGAGAATATGTTGTTAAATGACCGCGAAAAATTCGTAACTCCTTCATACGGACTCCGTTTCCATTTGTATTTTTATCGTTGAGTTCCTATTAATGAGATCTTCAACTCTCATTTAGGTCACATAGGCCAAAAACCGCTCGATCTAAAATTTGAGTTTCGCGTCGTGCACTGCTATACCAAATCTTAGAAAATTCATAACTTCGTCAAACGAAGTCAGAATTGGGCGTTCTTTTTGTGCACACTCTCGCTTTAACGTATTCTACGACTTTAGTTTAGATTACTAAGGCCAAAAAGTCTTCTATCGTAAATTCACTATTTACGTCTCCTTGTGCCGTGTCGGTTTTGCCGTAAAACTTCGACAGGCCAGAACTTCTTGGTTATAACTCGGATTTCGGCGTTCTTTATATGTACGGAACCCTTGTAACATATACTACCATTTGGTTAAGATTAATCCTTATAAATAATATTCCATCAAAAACTCATTTTTGATGCTTATTGTCTCTAAATTGACTAGCCCGAATATGCGGGTGTTACAGATGTAATCATTTATAATGATAGGAATGTTAGTAATGTCGCTAAGCCTCAAACGAATGTATGAAACTAATAAGGTTCGAAGGAGAATTCGAAATTTGTAGGAAGAATGCATACAACGAAGTAGTGCGATGTTTGATCGGGCATGAAAATTTAAGGTTAAACGTTGGGCATGAAACATGCTAGTTAATTGGAAAGTGTAAGATGGTTGTATACTCGAGATAATCACTACTGTATCTAGGGGTCTCGAACTTGACCTTGTAAAATTTTCCATAAGGGGAATGGTTTGTGCTTGAATTAAATTATTCAAAGTAAAGATGGTAGGGTAAGCACTACTTGTTGAAAAGGTTTTGGGTCAAGGAGATATCCTATGTTAAGTCTTAAGCTCAAGGTGAAAACAACCTAGAGATAAATCGTAGCGTAGAAAGAATGCCTCTTATATTGGTAACAACGGGTTAAACCTCCGTGTCTCCTCGTGATTCGAATCAGGAATACTCGCCAATGGTATCCAAGTGATTACTAGTGGCGACTCATCTACCTCCTTACGTGATGCTCCAATTGTCACCCGTGTCGGTATCAGAACGCTTTTCCTAGTTATAACTCTAGTATGAAAGCGATGAAGAGGTGTTGAGGTATAATTGGTATTAGTTTCGACATAAGATTATTACTAGTGGCTATCTAACTACTAACCTTACGTCTAAAGTCAATAGCTACCAAGGAATACTCATTCTCATTAGTAAGTGGATTTCTCCTAGAGTGGCTAGTGATATAACCTAATTGGTTAGCCTAGCACTTGATAATGTATAAGAATATTTCTAAATAAAGACATTGTTATAAAAGTGCACTTATTTTCTAAGTGTATCTAGATGAGTTCCTATAATATACAATGCTCGTACGTACATCGAGAATTTTTTTTAATGTTTAAGTTGAAAATCATTTTGAACATAATTCTACTATAACCGTTTCCAGTCTCGCATTGACTTTCCTTAATTAGGCATACTTGGACAGACTATACTTAATTAAAGTCCAATAATGCGTACTCGAATTAGTTATACCAGTAGTATGTTCAGTATTTTAAAAACGTTTTGAAATTTTTTTGGCTATCGTTGTGGTTCTCCAAAGGAAAACCGTTATTCTCTATAACCTTCAGCTCTAATACCATTTCTGTCACACCCCGCTAAAGCGGAAACACGGGGCGTGGTGTGACAACCGTCAAAATTCGAGTCAGTTCTAGATTTGACTAAACTTAGTTGCTAGTATAGGCACGCCACATACTAGACTTTGTAACTAGATGCTAAGTTATAACCTATTAAAAACTAGGAAACAAGTAGAATCGAAGGATAGTGTACTTATATTTCACATTGTTATGTGAATTCTACAATTACTTAACTGTAATGACTATCCATATTCGGGTCATTCTTCGACTTGAAAATCTTTGCATAAATCATGTAGACACATCATGCACTTGACCTAGTGATATAAATTAGGTCCGAGTCTCGTAGGAACTTAAGTCAAAGTTGAAAACTAGGACTAGTATACTTGATTTTTCAATTTCGCGTGAATCTCGAAACCACTACATAGAATGCCAATAAACCGATAAAAATAAATTACAAACATTATTTAAAACAATAAAAGAGTTATGAAACTCTAACATAAATTGAAATCTCAACTAATTCAGTATATTTTGATATCCAAATATTTATTAAATCTCAAGACCCTAAAAACCCTAAAAACTCAAATTTATAAACTTTAACACCTAAATCCATAAAATTTGGTATGGAATTTATAATATCAATTTAAAATAACTCAATTTAGTAAAATATATCCAAGGAGAAATAAAATTTAAGTCATTAGTATTTAACCTTATTTTCTATGCCAAAAATCAAAGTTTTGTGAATAAAAACTAGGATAAGGTGCATATTTTATAAAAACT